GAGCTTCATCTAGCACTACATTTTTGATGCACAGCTATTTAAGGGATTGGGAAACTTTGTTGAACAGCCTTATGGTACTGCTGCAAATATGACAATTGAAAAATGTTCAGGAATTCTCTCATTTTTCCATTTCCCCCATCACTCACTGCTCTTTTTCCCCCTAGGGTACCCCTAGGGATGTTGCTTACATCCTCAGGGAGGACTCCTCACACTTCAGTTTCTGATTCATTGACTGTGGAAGTGCTCCCTCAGGTCCTTCTTTGGCCTCTGCCTTTCCCAGCTCTCTGTGAAGTGACAACTCTCCCATCAGGAACAAAACCTGCACCTCCCCCTGGATGACTTGGCTGCTATTCCTGCAGCCATTCTTGTCCTTCTACCCAGACAAAGAAAACCAGTAGCCAGCAGCATCAGCCTCCAGCTGAACAGCTTCCCCACGCAAAGCACTTGCATTTTCACTGGGGATCAGTTGGGCAAGCTTTGGTCCATTTCCCTGCACTTCTTGTCATCCCATTCACTTTTATTGCTTTCACTTGGTTTCAGAAATTTTCCTTTTTTTTATTTTAAGCCTTTGATTTCTTCAATTTCTTCTTTCTCTGTGTTTACCTTTCTTCCCTGATTTCAGGATTTGTATTGGAGTAATTTTGGTAAGGCTTGGTCCTTTTCACTGCCCCTCATTTCACTTCAGTCCATTTGGTTGTAGTCACTCCATCTCCAAATTTTCTGTGTTTTTTCAATTGCATTTTTTTAAATCATATCTCCTTTCCAGAGGGTTTGTTAGATTTTGTTCTCTGATTTCAAGATTTCCTTCCCTTTTCTGAAAGGGAAGGGAAGGGAATGAAATCTTTACTGATCACTGCTCTAATTTTTCATACTGTAATAGGTAACCTCAGTTAGCCTAACAGAAGCTGGTTGTTAAATTCTGGTCCCTTACACGCTTCCAAGGATGGAGATGCTCCCATTTCCCTCACAACTTGTTCCAATATCTTACTTTCCCATGAAGAAATATTCTTCTTGTTTCCAAATGTCCTGAATTGAACCTTCCAAGCTGCAGTTTGGGGTTACTGCCCTTGGATAGACCATCTCCTACTACCAGGACAAAATATGGCTTTGTCATCTTTGTCATCTTTACAATTGCCCTTGATGTAGTTGTAAGCTACAATCAGACCTTGCCTTAGTCTCCTCCATGCCAGACTGTATATGCTGAGCTCCACCAGTCTCTCATCATAGGGCACATGTTCACTCCCTGCCTCTGTTGCCTGCTGCTGGGCCCTCTCCAGATTCCTCCACATCCTTTCTGGATTGGAAGGAGGGGACCCAGAACTGAACCACCATTCCAGGAGCTACCTCATCAGTGCTAAGGAGTAATGGGTGACTAACTTCACCTGCTGGTCTTGTTCCTCCCAGTATTAGCTCCCAACACAGCATGTGATTTGCCTTACAGGAAGAGCACTCAACATATGGGCTTATAGTCAACTTGGCACCTGCCATAACCCCCAGGTTGCAGAAAGGCTGAAACTCAGCCCATCACCTCCCAGCCACAGGGTGGCTCCAGCCAGGTGCCGAGCTCTGCACCTCACCACGTTGAACTCTATGAGGTTTTTTCTAACCCATACTCTCATCCCTTGAGGTCCCTTGGCTTCAAAGCATTTGGAATATCATCCTGTACAGTATGTCAAAAATTGCAAAATGCGAGTGATATTTTATGTTTTTTGGTTACAAAGGAACTTTAGTGCTGTTACTCTGTTTCTGGCTGCATTTTTCTCAATTTGTGTTTGTTCTCATTTAGTCCACAGCTTCCCTGAGCTGAAGTCCTGCCATCAGGCTCTTCTTGGCTGCTGGCAGCACTAGGAGAGGGATCCTGTGACTACAAGGTTTATTGCCAGTCTTGTTTGTTCCCAGTGCCCACCACAGGCCCTGCTGTCTTTACATTAATGGCAAAGAGGATATGAGTGTGTCTAGTTCCTTTTTCAGCTAACTGCTTCTCCATCTTAAATATCTGTGTGTCAAAACTGGATGCTGTTGCAGCTAGTCCCACACCTTCCTTACTTCCCCTATAAAAAGAATTATATTTAGTATGGAAATACTAGTGTATATAGTTCACAGCAGTGTGTATTGGACAAAAGTTGTGCATTAGCTGCAAGTAAACTGGGGATCTAAACCAAAGACTATTCATACATGTAAGAGGCTTTGCATGTTGCATTAAGCCTACCTTTTGATTAAGTTAAGCATTGGCTATTTGGCTCTGAAATCAGAAGTTTGCTCAAGCACATGAATGATCCCACTGAAAGCAATAGGACTAGCTGTGGACTTAAAAATAGTGTCTGGATCTGTCATTGGTCCTAAATCAAACTTGTTGCTCTAAGTTTCCCAATGCTGCCATCTACAGAGTTAGCTGACTACAGCTTTCAGACAGGCAATTAAATGGCTCTGAAAATTATAGATTGCACAGTCTACCCTGGTAGAGTTCTAAATTAGCTCTAAATGTGCATGTCTAAACAGATAAGCCTAAAATCCTACCTTCAATATTTCTCAAATATTTCCAAGGATAGTTCTATACATTAACTGTTGAATGTCCACCTCTGGAAGGCAGCACAAAAATGTCAGGAATCTGTTAATTCAAATTTATTTGCTCAGTAGTCACCAGTTTCTTCAGAGTGGGCATAAAACACAGCAGGCTTTGCAAGCTCCTGCCCTTCCCAACAACTGTCACAGGGAAAATTCAGGGGTAAATTCAGGAAAAACATGAAGGGCTTTAGATGGATGTAGAGAGGGTAAAAAGAGTTAATTTACTTAAGAAGAACACACAGGAAATCAAGGAAAAACAACAGTTCAGAATAGAACTACAGCTATAAGAAAGAGGAGACAACAAGGAGGGACAAGAAATGATCCTCACTTCAGATAGATGTGCCCAAATAAAAATATTAAATTATAAGAGCATCTTCTCATGAAAAGTGGTTTTGCTACACAGCACTCTAAAAAACAACTCTTGTCACCAAACATTTCTGCCAAAGTGTGAAATAATGGGCAAATATTAAAATTAAAAAACTGGCAAGTAGGTAAAATAAGCTAGAAAATATTAATAAGAAAAAGCATTTCTTTTGAGATTATACATGCCTGATATGGCTTTAAAACATCTTCCTGGTTTTCTGTTTATTTAATAGAATTGCAAGTTGTCAAATGCACACTTCTGTGAATTGTGACTTTTTCTGAATGCAGTAACACATCTGGAACCGCTGCACTGCAATATTGCAACATCTTCCATCTATTCAGCTTACAGATCACCACCCATGGTTTGAGACATCTATCCCAGCCCCCAAGATCTTTGCCATCCCCAAAAACTCATCTTCCTGTTTCTGAAGCCCAAGGTGGTTTAAAGTAAAGCCCAGCTGTTTCCTAAGCCCTTGTCATCACTTCTTCAGGGGGCAACAGCCTCGGTAGTGGATGTTATACACAAGTAGATAGATAACATTAATTCTTTAGTTTTTCTCTTTATTTCCATCCATTGAAACTATACCTGGGACCAGAATGCGAGAAAATAAGAAAAGTCTGGCACAAACATTTTCAGGTCTCTTCAGCATTGTCTCTGCACAGGCACAGCCCGTACCCTCAGTGACTGCCCTAAGGGCAAAGAGAGGGTCCTGTGCAGCACCAAAGCTCACTGCCCCAGGTAAGGCACACAGCTCACTTGGCACTTCTCATGCTCCTGCTCCTGTAGGTGGTTTTGTTCACCTTCCCCTCTCCCCTGCTGCAGGCTGTGTTGCTAAGCAGCCTGAGCCCTGGGCACGGCTCCAAGCCTGCGCTGGAGCGGGGCTGCAGCAGAGCCTCTCCTCCTACCCTACAACAACCTCCACCAAGAGGCAGAAAATGATGCTGTTGCAGAGGACAATGACACATAACAGACCTTTTCCTAGCCATGGTTTTCACCTCCCTGCTAACAGAAACTCAAGGCACTGATATTTAGAATTGGAGTATCCTAGGGTTTAGCAACTCCTTATACTGTAAATTAAAATGTTTTGCGACCCTTTGCCAGCTTCAGCTATCAGGCAATTACATGAGCAGTAACAAGGCCCCATACAAAACAACATTAGCCCACACAGAGCTTTAATAAAAGCTTGATTTACCCTTCTAAAAAGCCCTGTGACCATCTACAAGTCTGTTATCCAGCACTGTATAAAATGGTTGCCAGGGACAGACTGGGATTACATTAGTATAAAGACCCAAGTTTAAGGGTGTTTTTCCCCTGCCTACAGCTACCTGAAGTATCAGCAGGGAGCTGCAAGATCAACAAACAGTAACAAGACTCAGGTAAAAATAGTTTCCACAGGTCATGGCTAATGCCAAATAACATGTATTATAGATAGGTTAAATCTCTTTTGCTTGAATCCAAAATTTCAACCCACTATTAGAAATTTATGCAGTGTAGGTTTCTCCTTTTTAGGTCTTTGTGGATGGGACAGATAAGTACAGCCTCTTTAAAGGTCTTCATAACAGAATCACAAGTTAGTAAGCACACAGGGCCTAACCCAGGATTGTTTCTGCCTCAGCCAGCAGGTTTAGTTTAGCTACAGGGAGGAAAAATAGCTGTTCTAATACTGTCTCCTATAAGGAAACAACACCAACCAACTCAGTGGGTATTCTATCGCTTATAGCACTAATACAGACCACATTAAGGTGACATTTGAATGGTAATTTATCACACCTTACCCCTCCAAGCTAAATGTATTCAGAGTGGCAGATTGCAGCTTATGAGTTTCAGACTGAACATTTTGAAAGCCTTACTGGAGGGGTAGTGCAGCATGCAGCACTGCAACATGTTACACAGACCAGTGTCTCTTCATCCTTTAAAGCCCCCAAGACACTAGAAAAAGCAATTGCCCTGCTACCCTGAGGTTAACTTAACCTTTTGCTCAGAGGAGAGCTTTGAGGGCCTTTTGAAAAGAAGGCTTACAGAGGATGCCGCACAACTCCTTTTGGAGAAAATTAGTCAGCACTTCAGTCCATTTAGTCTTCCAGCAGAACATTTTATTCTCATTAAGGACAAGGAAATATCAACCAACAACTCAAATAACATAACACTGATCAAACAAGCCCTGTTAAGCATCTTCTACTTAACATGTGAAAAAAGAGTCTAAAGATATCTGATGTGTCCAAACCTTCACATTAAAACTTGAGCTCATCCTTTAGCATAAGCTCAGCTGATGTTGCTTCTGTGTATAGCAAAAGGTGGAAATAATTTAAGTTACCAGAACAGCTGTGTTTAACAAGTACTGAAGCACTGGAGTTTAAACTGCATTTACTGGTGTGCTATTAAACTGCTTTCCTTGCATCTCTTCAGTGTCTTAGGCAGACTTGCAGAAAGCCACAGCAGAAAAACGAACTTCTCCTTTTTCACGTTCTGTAAATTGTCTGCAGATCTTAGCAGAATCCTTGGGGATGAAAAAATACAGCTGCTTAGACTAACCAAATACATTTCCTGCAGAGAACAAGCCTTTGTAGTTCCACCAACTAAGTTACATAATCTTATAGCACCAGCTAATAGATACACTGAACAGGTATCTAGCTCTTAGGACAATACCTTCAGTACTCATAAACTTAGCAGATTTAAGTTAAGACTTGTACAGCAAGTAGGTACAGCCACTATACACCACATGCAGAATTCTCAGTTCTTTATAAGGCTTTTTATAAGCCTTGTTTTCAGGGAAACAAGCAGCAAGGGAGAAGGCTTACCTTCAACAGCAAGTCATCCGAGCTCGTGCCATGGTTTACAGGAAATGGCATACGGCCATCTGTGGAAGAAAAACTTCTGAATTAGCAGAACTGAGCATAGCAGACCCAAACAAGTACACACATGATTACACTGGGGAAGTCAAAACAAATTGTCACTAGTCTGAGTGAGATGGAAACAGTGTTCTCAGCTACACCAGTGACAATATGCTTTAGGCCTTCAGTGTAACCCACCATCAGTTAAAATCTTCAGATGAAGATACAAATTGTGTTTTGGCTCTGAGGGCCTCAGCAAACAGCTTAATTAGCACAAAATATCTTGTTTGAGCCCCCAACACTGCTGTGCAGTGTGGCGTAAGCCCAGTCCAAACAGTTCACAGGCCTTACCCAATTCATACAGGTGTCCATCCACGTTGACAAAAAGGATGAAATGGAAGTTCACACTGTTGTCCTCGACCTTAGGAAACACCATCAGACATATTTGTTAGTTTGAAGCTATAACTGCAAACCCAATTTGTGACTACAGAACACAGGAAACTTCAACAAGAAAGCAAAGGACTGAAAACTTAAGTTCAGTGGGAGAGGTCTGTGGCAAGACTTCTAGAACGTCAAGCACCAGAAATCCTAACGTAAAATTATATTTTACAACTGGGCCTTGATCCACATTTTCAATCCATGTTTGAAGAAGAAATCCCAAACAAGCAATCACCCATGAGTAACTTATTTCTCTTTCCCCATGAACTACAACAGCTTTCTGACAGACAAAAAAATAAGTGTTGCTCTGCTACCTTCATTAAACATTTTCCCAAGATTTTACACATTTACATCTTACCCGACATTGTCCTTCTTGCGCAACAGAGTTGTGGACTTCTTGTATAGCCTTAAGAGAAAGCAGGTACAGGTTACTACATCTTTAAGTGCTGATAACTGCCAGTAGTTTGTATAGTTCACATACCTTATTATTTGCCAAATGCTTAGCTCTTTCTTCAGGAGACAAATCAGCTGTTTCATCAAGGAACTTCTTCAGGGCAGAGCCCTCCTCTGCACAAGATGATCAAACATTTCATTCAGTATAGGTAAAACCTCAGTCATAGTTTAGATGCAGCCCACAGAAATCAATGCTTTTTGCACTAACTACAAATCATTGCATTCAGCATGTAGCTATCTCCAATATAAACACATTAAAACCTACCACTCAAAGTAAGCTATTAAAACAGAAGATATCAATAACAATCTACACAAACAACCAGAATTTTTTCAGGGAAGAGTGCTTCAGTTAACTCTGGATGCTCATTTAGAAAAATAATTTTCAAATGGGATTTAGCTTTTCTGATTTCCCAACTGCACATTTGGCAAAAATGTTAAGCCCTGTTTTGAAGAAATTCAAGAAAGGTACCAGCTGTAAGGACATAACTAACAGAATATGGGTAGACAAAATTGTCTCACTGCCTTTAAATGAAGGCAGCACTTGCTAACTTTGGTTTGCCAGAATATAAATTAGTGCAGTACTAAGATACACTGAGGTCTAGCACATAAAAGATATGCTGCATCATTGCTTCACTCATCAAGAGTGTTATTCCAGTGAATCCTTTTGAAGAATAAAGCAAAGCTATGTTTAAATGTTCACTATGACTTTCACATGTTTTCCTTTGTATAAAAAGGAATCCCACAGCACAGAATGGATCCGAGTTCTCTTAGAATAATGGTAGTTGAATTTTGCAGATCTAGTCTCTGAACAGCAAAAGAATATTTTTCTATAGGTAAAAAACCATCCAAACTATTACCTCGGTAGGAAAAATCTCCTTACAAACCCTTATCTATACAACTTGTCCAGTAAAAAGGAAAATAAAAATGTTTTAGGCTGATTTACAGGTTACTCTGAGCACATCAATTTACATTAGACATAAGCAGCATGAAGAACTCCATCTCATCTATTGCTAGCAAGCTTAATGTCAACAACTGCTTCTGAACACAGCAGTTCCTAATTACAGACAGACTCTGGTCAGTGCTGCTAAGTGCCCTTTTCCTCTTGCATTGCTTATTAGGACAATACCTCTGCAGCTAGCAGGCAGGAGTCAAAGCACATTCCCTTCTGTGTTTCAGGCACTCCACATGCCCCTCTCCAAGAGCTGGAAGACCCACTTACCAACTGAAACATTACAGGATGCCTTAACCTGGCTTGCCTGAAAGAAAGCTGTCTCCCAATAGCCCATACCCATTCAATCTGCTGTCAAAAAAATAGAAATTCAAGCACTTCGGAACATTCATACTCACCAAGTTTCAATTTGTCTTTGTTATTAGCAACTGCATGTATCAGACCAATTGTCCCACAGGAGTTACTGACGGTCTGCTTCAGGAAATACACTTTAGAACTGATCTCCTGGTCCTTTATTTTCTCAGTCTGTTGCTTCCTGAAGTTTTCATGCTGTAAACACATAACTAGTTTAGGCATTTCATCACAGTCCTATCCTTGTATAGTACACTGGAAAAATAAGTTGTTGTGCAGGAGAATCAGTATCAGGACTGGACAGAGATTTATTCAGAAAGTCATCTTTGTGGCACCAGTAAAGCACCATATGCCTAAACTGGATTCAGGCCAACACTTAATGGACTGACTACCTGCATGATTCAGTCATATCCAAAGTCACTGTTCTTAGCTTCTCCATCTGTGCCATACACTGGAAATAGCTTGGTGGGAAATAATATAATGGATAGGCTCTTTTATATTCTCTCTCTGTTGCTTCAGTCCACTGAACAAGGCTACTCAGCATGTCTCTACAATAGGCCTTTTAGAATTGCCCTCATGAGCCCCTCCCCATCAGAACAATGTATAAACTGCAAAATCCATTGCTATTGGCAAGTTATAATCCTTCTTTTTAAGAACCTGTTAACTGAATTTGATTTCATCTCATTCACTTCCTTACCATCAAACCAATTGATTATATTAATGAAGTAATGTAGGCCTCTCCAGATCCAATGATTCAGCACAGTAATGGAATTGCTATCCCTCACAGTCAAGATCTCGCATGTTTGGCTTTTTTCCCTCAGTCTGATATACAAAGCAAAATCTCACAGGAACACTGCGATGGAATGAGAGCCCTTGTTTGGTTGCCCAGCTCAGCCGAGGCCATTTGGAGGCGGGGACCAAGCCCAACCCCGTGCCAGTGCCAAGCCCCATCCACGCCCAGCCATCTGATGCTTGGGGGATGGCAGCCGCACTCCAG